TTAAAAGCTGTTTTTATTTCCATGTGTCTTGTGTTGCAGAAGTGAAAACTCGCAGGAAAAGGGAAGGGGAAAAAAAGGGGGGGAGAGGATAAAAAAGAGGGGAAGGGAAGGGAAGGGAAGGGAAAAGGGAAAAGGGAAAAGGGAAAAGGGAAAAGGGAAAAGGGAAGGAAAAGGGGAAGGAGAAAAWGGRRAAAGGRRAAAGGGAAGGAAAAGGGGAAGGAAAAAATGGAAAAAGGAATGGAAAAAGGAATGGAAAAAGGAATGGAAAAATGAAAGGAAAAAGGAAAGGAGAGGGAAAAAAGAAGGGGAGAAGGTAAAAAAATGGGGGAAGGGAAAATAAGCTGAGAAAGAACTAAAAAGAGGGAAAGGAAACCAAAACGGGAAAGGAAAAAAAGGGGGGGAAAGGAAAAAAATGGGAAAGGAAAAAAAAGGGGAAAGGACAAAAAAGGGGGAAAGGAAAAAAAAAGGGGGAAAGGAAATAAGAAAGCCACTGTATCCCACAACCAATCTCCTATTAAAACGAGTGGAAAAAGTTGCGTCCCGGCCCCACCTGGTGGACAAAGCTCCCGAGATAGGGAATGTGCAGGAAAAGCCCTACAGATGACCCCACCTCCTGCGTGAGTCCAGCTAAGGGACAGGCGCCTCCTCCCCGGGTTCCATCCTCCAACATCCCCTCTCAGCAAAGAATTTCTTCCCAATATCCCATCTAACTCTGCCCTCTGGCACTGGGAAGCCATTCYCTTTTTGTCCTGTTATTCCAGGACCTTCTCCAAAGCCCGTCTGCAGCTCTCTCGGAGCCTCTTTCTTGTGTTTAGCACTGACTAACCAACTAAATTCAATTAAAAACTGGAAATGCGTAATTCCAACACCATAAAATTAACTCCATTACTTTTGGGCACTCGGGCAAACCTCTAACAACCGGATTCTTGGATAAACACGAGGATTTCCCTTCTGGAAGCACGTAAACAAAGCGAGAGGAACAATGTCCCAGACAAACCCTGCAGTTCTTTCCAATCCATTTACTCCTCCAAAGGCGGGTCTCGCCCCGCAGGACTGAGAACACGCACGGCTAAATGGAGGGAATAATCCCAGTAAAACCGGAATACAACACCAGCATCAGTAAAAACGGCTTTTTTTTTGCCGAGGTCTGACAGCTCTGGTCCGGGAGCAGCTCCTCAGCTCAGCACTGGAGAGCGCCGGGCCGGGAACACACGCCACTCCCGAGGACAGCGGGACAGGAAGGGAGGCAGGGGACAGAAGGAGCCCGTCCCGAGCCGCCCGTGCTCCTCACCTCCTTCAAGGACGCCTTCTCGCCGACCCCCAGCAGCCCGTAGAGGTCCCGCTCCAGCAGCTCCTTATCCACCGCCATCTTCGCCCTTCCCGGTTCCGCTGCCGCGGTCGCTGGGAAATGTAGTCCCCACAGGCCRCCGTTCCAAGCACAGCGGCGGGGCATTGGACTACAAGTACCGTGATGCACCGCGCGCCCCGCGGCTCAGCACTACCGGGGGCACAGCGCGGGGCTGGGCATGCCGGGTAGTGTAGTTCTTTAGCGGCGGCTGCGAGCGGGGCGAAGCTGGAGGAAAACTACAAGTCCCGTGGGGTCTTGCGCGGACAAGTCCTTAGGGGGAACCGGACGTGGATCCCGCTGTCCCCCAAGGTCACCACTGATCGTGTCCCCAAGCGCTTCAGACACATTCACATCCACATCCACATCAACGCGTTGAATCCCTCCAGGGACAGCATTCCTCGACCTCTGCAGGAAGCCTGTGCCTGTGCAGGGTGCTGTGAGCCCAGCTCCAGCCCATTCCCAACACCATACTTGTTTTAGTTGTCCCCAAAAAAAACATCCCTCTCAGCCCAAGGCACAGCTCCTTGGGAAATTCTTCTTGTTGATCTAAGATACCTCCCTTTTCCTCCACTGCCCTAAAATGGGAGCAATGTAGATGAGAGCCTGTCCAATTATTCCCATGCACAGGAGATGAAAATTTTCAGCCCTTATTCCTTTATTCTAGTAGAACTAGTGTCCTCATGGCTGAAGATTATTTAACTTACCTTAATCAACAGCAGTGACTAACCTGAGAGAAGAAAACTGGATAACCACGAATCCAGTAAAATTAATTGTTTCTTGAGAGGTTTTCTTACCCAGTAGTGCAATAAGCTGAAAGATTGCTGGTCTGTGTTCATGGAGCCTCAGCTCTCAGGGTGAAGACCAAAGTCCTTGTGAGTGTTGTTCAAAGCCCTGCTCCCCTGCCCTCTCCTACTTCTTGACATGTCATAGAGTGCTGGAATGGTTTGTGCTCAGAGACCTTAAAGATCCTCCAGTTCCACCCSCTGGAACACTTCCAGGGATCCAGGGGCAGCCACAGCTTCTCTGGGCAACCTGTGCCAGGGCCTCAGCACCCTCACAGGGAAGGATTTCTTCCCAGTATTCCACCTAAATGTCCTCTTTTCTAGTTYGGAGCYATTCCCCTTGTCCTAACTCTCCAGTTCCTGATGAGTTGTAGCCCTGGGCGTGCTGAGACCACCCATGGACACCGTGGTGCCACTTCAGGGACCTCCTATGCCTCACTCTGAGGATCCCCTCCAGTGACACCTTCTTGCTCTGCAAGACACAAAATAAATCTGCTGACCTCTGTCTCTAAACCCAAGCACAGCATTTCAGCCCTTCGGGGCTGCCCCACGCCTCAACAGTGGCCCTTTGTGACAACACTGTCAGGAACATCACAGCAGCCGCAGGACACACGTCACAAAAGCAGGACAGGGGCCACAGAGCTGCAATCCCACGGTGAGACCCGTGGGATGCAAACACTGCTATTCCAGCCCCACCACATCCCCACTGCTGAGGTGTGGAGGGACAAGGAGCTTTGGGGTTTTTGGGGAGAGCTACCTGGAGACGGACTTTGTGCCTCTTGCAGGGCGAGATGTCATCGAGGGAGGACAAGCCAGAGCTGGAAACCCGTGCCACCAACAGCAGCCAGGCAGCCCCGGCTGTGCCACAGGACAACTGCCGGGAGCACGCCGCGTGCCCGGCGTGCCGGCACATCAGCACCACGTGCTCCAGCTCGTGCCGGCACTGCTTCTGCCAGATGTGCCTGTGGGACTGGAGCCTGGGCGAGGCCGAGTGCCCGCGCTGCCGGCGGCCCATCCGCCACCCCTACCCCCAGCACGTGGCCCTGTACCACGAGGTGCAGGACCGSGTGTACGACAGGAAGCGGAGATGGTGTGGCCACTCGGCGCGGCAGCTGCGGAGCTGCTCCCGAGACAGGAGGCGATGCAGGTCCATGAGGTGGCCCCGYGATGGCCGCCGGCAGTCTTGGCATGACCGAAGCAGTGAATCCCCAGAGAGGAGGTGGCAGCGGAGGGCTTGGGAGGACGCACCTGTAGAGGGACAGGCTCCTAGGTTTGAATGGGACATGCCAGACTCCTCCCAGGGAAGGGAATCCCGGCGATCATGGAGCCAGCAGGAGCGGTCACAGGGCCAAAGCAGGTGCAGCAGGGGCAGGGAGCGCTCCCACCGCCGGAACAGGCGATGGAGAGGGTCCTCCAGGAGACGCCGGGACTCGTGGACGGGATCCCAGGCCAGGCAGAGGCGCTGGAGGAGCTGGAATGCTGATGGCAGACACGCTTCAAGGTACCAGCATGACAACCCCTCGGAGAGGAGCGAGAGACCCCGGTGGGAAGAGTGCTCCTCTGGACAGCAGCGTGCAAGAAGCAGACGAACCCGGGGCAGATCCCACAGGAGAGGCCRTAATTCCCAGGGAACGGTGCCCCATGACCACAATGCAAGGCAGAGGCGCTGGAGGAGCTGCAATACTGATGGACACGCTCCAAGGTCCCAATGGGACAGCCCCTCGGGAAGAAGCGAGACACACCGGTGGGAAGACTGGGATTCCTCCAGGCAAGAGCACGTGAGAAGGAGCCGAACGTGGGGCAGATCCCACAGGGGAGGCCAGGACACCCAGACCGGCTCCGAGGAAATGCCCCAGCACCRCTCCAGAAGGCAGAGGCACTGGAGGAGCTGGAATGCTGACCAGGGACGAGCTCCAAGGTCCCAGTGGGACATCCCAGGCTCCCCAGGGAGGAGCCAGCACTGGCGCAGGAGCCGGAGCCACGCTGGGCACAGGGACATGTAGCCCACCGTTCCCAAAAGGAAATGCCACGCTCAGGGACAGCCCGGGGTGTCCAGGCAGGCTCTGGTGATCTCCCAGGATGGAGCCACCAGATCTCCCCTGGACATCCTGTTCCAGGGCTTAACTTGCTCTAAATAAACAAACGCCGCTTGAGCCAGCACTTCCTTTCTTTCCCTCGTTGTTTTCTGCTGTCTCAGGAGCCTCCACAGATATTTTGGAGCATCCCAAGCCCTTGGGTTGCCCTCAGGAATCTCATCCTTTCCCTCTCTGAGCTCCACTTAGCACCATCAAGTGCTTCTGTGGATCGAGGAAGGAGTCCATGCCCTCTCTGTGGCTGAATCTGGTTTGGATTTTTCCTTTGCTTTCCCCTCAGCTTTATCCAGGGAAACTTTGCTGGGAGAAGCTATCACCCTTTAGCATTTTTTCAGCAGAGCCACCACTTGGTGCAGAAATATTTTCCCCAAAAACCCAAGGTGTGGCTGATACCATTCAGTGCTGGAGATGCCTGAGCCCAGCTCCAAAGCCAAAATTTTCCCTGAACTTCCCTTCCAGCTGTCATCCAGCCCCTCAAATACCACCCTTTGGAATCACCCCACTAACCTGCAATGTCCCATTAATCTCTAATTTGGGGTATCAGTGTAGCTGATCAYCTCCCTAAATGCATATTCAGCATGTGGAACACAGATTTTGCCTATGGATATGTTCTCTGCTGGACAGAAAGAGGCTGGTCACACCAGATCCCTCTTGCACTGCAAAAAATAATTGGAAAATAAACGTAAAATTAAAAAAATGGTGAAAAGCAGGAGCTGAGGCACACAGGAGGTGGGCAAGGATCCTCGCAAGGATCACGCTCTGGTAGAGCCACTCCTTTGCTTGATCAAGTTTATTTTTCTTCCCCAAAAACCTGCTCCAAATAGACCTGGAATTCACCCGATTCCCCAAATATACTCAGAAGGTGGGCTCTTGCTACCTGGGACTCCTAGAAACCACACAGGCTCAGGTGGGAGAAGCACTGTTCAGAACAGGAGATGGCCACAAAACTGTCCTGTTAATTTTTCCCTGGATTTAATCTTTGCATTAAATACAGAACTTCCCATGAGATACAAGATGATTTTCRTTTATCTCCTGGAAAATCCACCCCCTGCCTCTCTGAGTGTGGCGCCAGGGGCCTGGAAATGCTGGATGTGCCTACCTGAGCACATACMCACAAACATTTCACCGGGAAAACCCTGGAAAAATGCAGCATTYGGTGTGGATGGATGTTAGTGGCAGAGCTGCTATTTCAGGATAACAACAAGTAAGAAAATTCAAACAATTTCTGCTGAAATAAAAAAAAAACAAAAAAACAAAAAAGAGGATCTTGAAAAAGTGCAAAGAGGCTGGAAGTCGGAGAGGACAGCCTGTGGCCAGCACTGCCCTCAGAGGTCTCTGTCCCAGAGCTGCCCACCCTGGATTCAGGAGGTTTTCACAAACACCGGCACCTCGGCCAGGCTGGCGGAGTAATTCCGGAGGGTGGTGCCTCCGTCGAACACTCGGGCAGTGTTGGTGTCCAGCCAGAGGTGCCCTTCTCCTGGCAGGTAGATATCCCTCCACATTTGTCCCTTTTCTGTTATAGGAGCAACCAGAACCTGCAGGGGAAAACGACAGAAAAAAGAACTTCAGCAGAGGGAGGATTAGCCAGGAACGTATGTGTGGAGATGAGATGGTTGTCAGAGAATCCTGGAATGGTTTGGGTGGGAAGGGACCTTWAAAATCCTYCAGTGCCACCCCCTGCCATGGGCAGAGACACCTTCCACTATCCCTTGTTGCTCCAAGCCCCATCYAACCTGGCCTTGGACACTGCCAGGGATYCAGGGGCCACAGCTACTCTGAGCATCCTGTACCAGGGCCTCAGCTCCTTCCCAGTTCCATCTATCCTTGACTTATTTCAGTTTAAAAACCATTAATGCAATGCAGTGACATCCCTTTGACTAGGACTGGGATCACCCCTGCCTGCAGCAGCTCCAGGATTACACCCAGCTTATATTTTGGAAAACCAAAATGAAAAAACTCATGAAAAATGCCTGTTTCTTGCAAAACCTCCTCCCCAGTGACAGAGCCAATGTAATCCCACCTTCAGGGAGCATTTTCCCCTTGTTTTATGGGAAAGGCAGTTCTCAACATGCTGAAACTATTTATTCCTGCTAAATCATTTCACTTCCAAAGCTGACAGAGGCTTTCAGAGCCCTAAATAAGAATTTTGTGAGAAAGGCCAAGCTTTTCCAAAAAGGAAAAACCCCAAACCCACAAAACCCAGCTGCTTTGGCTTGGATTAAAATCTGCTCAGTTCCCAGCCCTGGTTTGTACTCGTGCAGAGCTGGATTTACAGGAATGATAATAATGCAGAATTCCCACCTCATCTCCAATGAGAAACTCATCCTCTACGGTGAATGCAGCTGGATCCGTRGGGCTGAGCCACCAGGCAGGACGGAAGATGGGGTATCCCAAACTCTGCCACTCCTCACTGTATTTTAGGAGCAGTGGAACAACAAAGTCCCGGTGCCTCTGGATGCACTGACGGGTCAGATTCACGACCTGCAGGTGGGAAAAACCAAAAATAAATAACTAAAAATTTTAAAGTAAAACATATATTCCCTCAGGAAGAGAAATTACTGCATTGGAATATCCTGAAAAAGTTATGGTGCAAATGGGGTTGATATTGGATATTGATTTGGATATAAATCCTTTGCTAATACATTTAAATCCATTGATAATGGACATAAATCAATTGGATTTAAATGGCTTTAAATCCATTGGTAATTCTTGTAAATCCACTGGATTTAAATCTATTGACTGTAATATGAATACACTGGATTTCAACAGATTTAAATAGATTTTAATAGATTTAATAGATTGAAATCCATTGCTAATTCAATTTAAATGTATTTAAATACCATAATAATAGTTATGAATCATTTGATTTAAATGAATTTAAACACCTTGATAACAGCTATTAGTCTATTAGATTTAAATGTATTTAAGTCCMTTTAGACTGAACATTAATCCATTGGATATAAATAGATTTCAATCTACTGATAATGAATATAAACTCATTGGATTAAAATGGATTTAAATTCATTTATATTGAATATAAATCCATTGGATACAAATCCATTTATATTGAACATAAATCTATTGGATATAAATGGATTTAAATCTATTGATAATGAATATAAACCCATTGGATTAAAATGGATTTAAATTCATTTATATTGAATATAAATCCATTGGATATAAATCCATTTATATTGAACATAAATCTATTGGATATAAATGGATTTAAATCTATTGATAATGAATATAAACSCACTGATTTAAATGGATTTAAATCCATTTATATTGAATATAAATYCATTGGATRTAAATGGATTYAMATCCATTGATAAAGTATGTAAACCTTTTGGAATTAAATAAATTTAAACCCCTTGACAATGGATATGAGTCCATTGGATTTAAGTGAATTTAGATCTATTGATAATGAAGATAAACCCATGGATTTAAATGGATTTATAKCTATTGGTAATGGATATTAATTAATTGGATTTAAATGGATTTACACCCATTGATAAAGGACCTTAATTTACTTGCTTTAAATTCCACTGATAATGCATAAGAATCCGCTGAATTGGAATATAAGTAAATCCACTGATATCAGATACAAATCCATTGGATTTAATCCCCTGGGAATTGAACCCAAACCCATTGATAACGGATTTATTGCCACTTCAGTGCAGAGCTGGGGACAGCGGCCAGCAGGTGACCCCTGCCAGGCCTTCCATGGCTTTTGGGGGCATTGGCCATGTCAGGATCCCACTGGAGTGCGGGGAATACATACCCAGGCATCGCAGCACAGCCAGGGCGGGGTCCCAAAGGCCATCACGGGCAGGAATGTCACAATCTGCAGCCACCTCACAAACAGCTCCGGGTCCCCCTGGGCGGCTCCGGCCACGCTCCCTCCTGCGGGAACAATGGGGCTGAACAAAGAGCTCCTGGAAAACTTCAGAACCCCTTGCAGTGTCCTGGGAGCCAGAGCAGCATCCCTGGGAGCCACTGCTCCAAACATCGGGCACAGCTTCCCTGGAAATGGCACACAGCCCCAACGCCACGGGCCCACCCGTCTCCTTCAGAGGCTTTTCCCACCTCTTGGAGCTCCCAGGGTGTCGGGACACAATCCCTGGCAGCAAACTCCCCACACWTCTCAGTGCAGGGGGACCTGCTCTCCCATCCTGCTCCCCTGGAACAAGCCAAGTGCTTCAGCGCCTCTTTGGGAAGCAARCTGCTGGGATTGCTTGAGCCTCATTTCCTAAGTAAAACAGGCTAAAAATGGAGGCCAAATTCAAACATTGCTCTCAACCCCTATTTCAGGCTGTTGTTTAGCTCAACTCTCCGTGTTTGACACTTCCTGCACAGCCCCTGCATGTTCAGGGCTTGTTTTAACCACCAGGAATTCCATCAGCTCTGAGAAAAKGGGAAATCGATCCACTCAGCCCTGATTAAAAGTTGCTTCTTGCCCTTTTACAATGTTTTTATTTCAGGATTTCTCCAGCAATCTTGCTTTGGAGCAGAAATGCAGACTTGGAKCAGAGCTGCCAGAGTTTTAGGACCATCCATTCCCCAGCCAAGAGCCTGGGGATGCAGATCCTGCCTGTGCCAGGTGGGATTTAACCCAAGCCAAGCCCCATGAGGGTGGGCTGTGGTGGAACTCTGGGAAGGGCATCCCCAGAGACCCGGCTGCTTCTGGAGCTGCCTGGCAATATTTACAGCACATTTTTTTGTTTTTAATTCTCACTTTCACCCCTGGTACCACTCATCCCAATCATGGCAGCACAACAGAAAACTGGGGAGCAAAACTCTCCAAGCCTTCCCATAGCACACCTGAGGTGCAAATGTGCTCCTCTCACCTGGAGAAAGGCTGCAGAGAAGCCAGAAATAGGGGGAAAACAGAAAATCAGCGCTTACCTACTGCATCAGGGATGAAGAAGTTGTAGCCCAGGAGGCTGTAGTGCAGCACGGAGGGGATGAGTCCCTTCAGCCCCGCGTGGCTCCAGTCGGAGCGCAGGGGACTCATCTGGACAAACAGCGGGAGGTGACTGGATCTGGGGAAACAGCACAAACCCTTYGAYGAGGTGCTTCGAGCGCTYGGAGGAGCCGAAATTCCMTGATTCCCAGCTGGCCTGGGAGCCRCTGGGGCCAGATGATAGTCCCTGAATGGTTTGGGTGGGAAGGGACCTTAAAGCCCATCTASAGCCACCCCACTGCCATGGGCAGGGACAACTTCCACTATCCCTCGTTGCTTCAAGCCCTGTCCATCCTGGCCTTGGAACGATTCCAGGGATCCAGGGGCAACCACAGCTTCTCTGGGCACCCTGTGCCAGGGCYTCCCCACCCTCAGATCCCACAASRACCCCCRATTACATCCCGCCCTAGCCCACTTCTTCACCACTTCCCTGGGTGCCAAGAAACATCTGGGAATACCAAGAACACATTCCAAGCACCAGCTCAACCATCCCCACCATCAGCTCCAGCAAAGCCTGGTGCCCACCTGGTCCCRGCGCTGACGATGGTGCCATTGCCCAGCGTCGCCAGCGCTGCTGCCAGCACCTCGGCGTATCCATCACCCGCCAGCTCGGTGGGAGCGGGGACATCYTCCTCCAGGAAGGAATTGCCCTCCACTCCCTCGAAGATCACGTAGGTGGCCCCCAGCGCCTGCCACAGGCGCCGGGCACGAGCCAGATACCAGCCCAGTGCCTCCTCGCTGGTGACGTTCAGGCGGGCACAGAGCTGCCCCTTCCAGGTGGTCAGCARTGGGATCTGTGGAGAAGGATGGAATTCCCTGTATGATCCATGGAATATCCTGCGGATTCTGGGGTGCGATGCTGGCGGATGCTGCGCTGCCCCCATCCCACCCTGCACTGTCGTGGTGCAGCGCATCAAGGTGTAAATCCTCCCTCAATCCCCCGAAAATCCCTGAGCTGGAGGCGAAGTGGCTGACCACTAAGCCGACCACAAAAAAAATTGAATTGAGGGACTTTCCGAACACTAGCAACTTTTTTTGGAAGTGGAAATTTGAAAGCCTCTTCCGTAGGAACGAGAAGAGATGGTGCTTCCGCCGACACTGCTGTGGCCCAGCAGAGCGGGATCGGGCTGTGACCCTCGATAGACAATATACCCGAGGGAGTTTAATTAGCTATAATTATTTAGCATTTATTTACCGAGCTGCCCCCGGGTCGGGGCTGGCGGCTGAGCCAGTATCCCGCGGCCTCGCCGCCGCGCAGGGAGCGGAGGAAGAGCGGGGAGGCCACGGGGGCGTACGGGGACAGAGTGATGGCGAGCGACAGCGGCTCCACCAGCGCCGGGCCCGCCTGTCTCCTCCAGCGCTCCGAGGGCACCACGTCCTGCGGGGGGCAAAGGAAGGAATAACAGGGTTGTGGAAGCCCAACCCCACAACCCACAGCACAGGAGTGCTCCTGAAGGGCGGTGGGACCGTACCGCGGCGGCCAGGACGGCGGTGCCGCGCTCGCCCAGGGCCACGGCGCCCTCMTGAAGGCGATGCCGCTTCAGCCTCCTCAGCAGCGCCCTCAGSCCTCGCCGGATCCTGGCGGCGGAACCCTCCGGGCCGTGGTACCGCCAGATGGGAGACCTGCGGGGTGGCAAATTCCTCGTGAGGTGCTTCGGGAGGCTCGGAAGGCTTCCCGCGGCCRGGGGAAGGAGGGCTCACCGCAGGAGCGCGGTGTCCGGCAGTGTCCGAGCCGCCCCGGCCGGAGCGCTGGCCTTGTGCCGCCGGGCGGCCGCCACATCGGCGCTSACACACAGCTCGTAGCGCAGCGCCTCGGCTCGGCCCGCCGGTGTCTCCAGGCAGAACTGCCGGTGACTCTCCAGGGACAGCCGCAGCGGCACCTCGGGAGCCACTGTCACYGTCACTCCTGCGGGGGAAAAGGGGAAAGGAGTGTCTTGGCAAGCGCAGGCTGCTGCCCATGGGAGCCGCCCGCAGCCTAACCGGTGCCAAGGCCTCACGGGCTGCTCCTGCCGCAGATCCGGCCATGCCAACCATCCCCACCCTGCTCCCGCTGTTCCAGTGTAGCCTGCGAAATTACTCTCAGGGGCTGGATTTCTCCATTTCCCAGCCTTTTTGCTCTGTGTTCAAARGCYTCAGCAKTRCAGGGCAGCTGCAGGTCACTGGATTGCTCCCTTTCCCAGCCTTTTTGCTCGGAGTTCAGCGGCCTCAGCATTACAGGGCAGCTGCAGGTCATTGGATTAATTTGGAGTAATGGCTGAAGTTTGGCGTTCTGCAGAACAATCAAAATATTGCCCCAAAAGTGGCACCAGCAGCTGAACTCCTGCCTGAAGCCAGCATCCCACAGCAGCATCAGGGAGCCATGAAGCCGCTCTGGTGGAGCTGGGGGTGCAGCAATGGGCACAGCTCTGAGCTTAAAAACCAACCAGACACACCAAGAGCAAGGGATGTCCCTCAGGTCACCTGGGTGACCCCATCCTCAGTCACTCTGGGTCTGTATTGATTCACGTGGTCTATATCAAGGTGCTTATGAAGCCTATTAATTGAAAACTTTCTATAGCCCTTTTTATATGTTATCAGTATAAGAATGTAATAACTTTTTACATATTATTAAAATACARTGTAATCGCTTTCAATATATTATCAATGATAGCATTTTTATATATTGCTGTAAGTTTTTTAATAGTGTATTAGCAACATATACTATACCAGCTGCATGTAATCTAACCAGCTGGATTAGTACAGAGATACGTGAAATCACCAAGAAGCATAAATCAGAAAAGTTCTGAAGAAAGTAGACAGGTAAATGCTGTAACAAGGAACAGTGGAGAGCACTAATGAGTACTTGGCAGAAGCACGGGACAGTCAGCAAAATARTTGAAAATTACAACATGGAGGACTAGAAAAAAACCATGAACATCACAACTGCGCATGGCCTGAAGATAAAGGTGAAAAGTCCACCATGATGAAGAGGATGGTATCTCATTAGAGGGAGACCCCCACAACCACTGAATAAAGGATGACACATGAGCACTTGTAAAACTGTGATATCATGTATTTCTGTGCCCATGTGTAGTGGTGGGTGTATGGTGTTTTGTTGTTATTATTCACATGAACAGTGACAATGTTCATGTTACATCATGCTTGCTGTATAAATATGTGCTAATTTGAAGCACAGGCAGATGGGTTAGGAGGAGAAATCCCCCTCACCTCCAGTGCTGCAATAAACAAATACCTGCTCTATAGACACCGGTCTATGGAGTTTTATTTCCAGGCCTTTTTGGGCATCAGTGCTATGGCCTCTCCCACAGGGATAGAGCAGCATGGGATCCATCCCCTGTGCCCTGTTGCCACTACATTTGCAGAATATTTTATTCCCAGAGACGTCTGYGCTGCTCCTCAAGCTGCTTTAAAGGTGAGGAAGAGGGCAGAGAAGCACAGGGATTGACGCTGTGGGACMCTGGGCAGGGAAGAAGGTGATTACCTGTGGATCCCAGGAAGAACCTCTCCAGGACAGGCCCGAAGCCATCGGGGTTTGCRCCGAGGTTGCTGCTGACCAAGGGCTGCGCGGGGCTCTCGGCATCATTGAGGGGCCAGCGCTGGGCACGGAGGCTYGGCCCTCCATACCAGGACACATTGGCCATGGAAAAACAATCCTGCAGCCAGAAAAACATCAACAAAAAGTGAGGAATACTCAGGGGGAGCRGGAAGGCCAGGCTGGACGGGGCTTGGCACAAAGTGTCCTAGTGGATAGTGCCCCTTTYGCAGCGTAAAATTATGGTTTAATTTAAAAACAAAGGAAAAGCAGGACATGCTCCTCAAAGGCTGCCAGTTTTTGCTGGAGGAGCTTAAATAAAATCAAACTGCCACAACCATCACACTTCTGCACCCTTCCATGGTTATCAAACACCTCTGAGTTGCAGGTGAAAAGGTGCTGCAAAAGTCTGAGCGAAGAGACTGCGGGTATGAGTGGCTGTAGGATAGGAGTGACAACAGAGGGGGAAATCTAAAAGACCAGCATTAAAATGTACTGAGGGTGCTTTCTGAAGCCCAGCTGGGAAATCTGTGTAATTTTTGTCTGTTGGTTTATTTGGGTTTTTTTGTTTGGTCTGTTTTTTTATTTGGTTAGTATTTTTCGTTTGGTGGGTTTTTCTCTCTGGTGGATTTTATTTTTCCCCTCTGTTTTACTGAAAAACACATTAACCTCTCCAGCTGCCTTCTCCAGAGTTTCTGGGATGAATCTTCCAGTGCAGCTGCCCCCACCTGAGCTGTCAYAGAGAGCTTTTAGCCCCATCTGGAGCCTTCACCTCGACAGCACCACACTGTCCCCAGGGTGACACATCCTCTCTCCCGAGGCACAGCTTCCCTCTTCCCYGAGGGCTGACAAGAATTTCCCTCAAGAGACTCAGTTTGGAGGTTTGGGGCACTTCTTTTAGGGCCCTGAGCTGGGGGACATCCTCATCCTTCRCCCACCTCCTGCCAGAAACCATTAGGTTTCACTTCAAAGCCTCTCAAACTTTCCTCTTTCTGCCAAAYGGAGGGATCAGCAGGACTTAGCGTCCTCGTGACTTCCCAGGCGGGATGGGCTTCCCTGAACTCCCGGAGATTTGGGGCCATGGAGGGGGGCTGGGGTAGGCAGAGGAAACCCAGAGATCCCCCACTCAACCGACCCCACATTTATTCCCAATCCCAAGGCTTCAGGGCCTCCTGGAGTTGTGGGCTCAGGGGCACAGAGAGGTTAAGTCTCTCCGAGGGGTGGGRAGAGGAGATGTAAATTATTAAAGTGGAAACCCTGGAGGCACGGAATAGCTGTACCAGGTGTCAGCTGAACTCGTTACACCAGCTGGGAAAGAGGGGAAAATGTCCTGTTCTTAACTCAGATTTCGCTGGATCATATTTTCCAATGATTTGGTTTTTTAAAAAGTGAGGGAGAGCCTATTCTGCCTCACTCATCCCCTCAAAACGCCTCATGCCATTGTCAGCGGAGGAGACCCAGCCCCACACGCAGGGTTTGTGTCAGGCAACACCTTCCACCCAACCCMAAATGGTGCCAACAGGTGATTTATGGCTAAAGGGGAACAATCCTTCATCCCACAGGATCCCATCCCTCTTCCTTCCCTGTTCTGAGGGCTCCCCACGGCTGGACACCCTGCTCTGACAGCATTTCTCCTTCCCCTCCTAMGGCTCCTTCCCAGAGTCTGCTTTTATTTAACTGAGGGAGAACACAGGGAATGATACCAAAAATAAAGCCCCCATAAATGTTTGCAGCAGCGGACATGGATTATTCCCATCCCGTGGGAGCTGCCCATTGTGTCTGTGCTGGAAGAGACCTTCCCGAGGCTCTTGCCAGCATTGTCATCTCCAGCRGTTATTTACTCTGTCTCCATATAAACGCGGCTCTCCCACCCCGGGGTCACCAGCGTGGCACCACCACCGCATTTTGGGGGCACGATGCTTCCAAAAGGTTTTTCCCTTACAGCTGTGGGAGACAGGGAGCCACGACCACGGTGCGACCCCATAACCAAGCTGGGGATCGCGATCAGGCCAAAGGAGCTGGATCCCAAAGGATTTGGAGCCGGACAGAGGGTCCCCGTTACCTTCAGGGTCACGTCGGGGCGCAGCGGGGTCCAGCGGACGCTGTAGCACTCGGTGCCGGGGGCTGCCGGCGGCTCCAGGGACAGCCGGAGCTCGGCATCCTCCTCCCAGGAATAGCAGAACTGGCCTCCRTCGTGCCAGCAGCGGTCCCGGGGCGGTGGGGGCTCGGTGGCCGGCACGCTGCCCACGGCGATGGCCAGCACTGGCCGGCCGGCCGGCARTGCCCGCAGCAGCAGAGCCCCGCTGCCCCGCTCCCACAGCATCCCCGCGTCCCGGCCCCGCAGCACCCACTCCTCCGGGGACTGCTCCATCGCCTGCCACGAGATGATGCCGATGGTCATGGCGAAGAACACGGCCACGCCGAAGCAGCCCACGGCGCCTTTCCAGGGCTCCGTCATCTCCCTGAAGCTCAAGATCCAGTTGGACTCCGGGATTTGGCCGGTGTGGCGGGAGAGGGGCATGGTGCGATCGCAGGGAT